AAGTTATTTGAGAGAGGCTAATGTTGTTCTGGCCCTTGTTGTTCAAGTCCGATCCTGCTTCCTTTTAGACTAAACAAGACGAGCTCACACAAAAGCGGGAGAAGGGAGCAGCAACAGTAGAAAATGCAGCTTCCGTTTCTGGTGCTATTTTGTAGCCTCTCTGCTGGAGGAACATAGGCACCAGACATAGCCTTAGCAGCCACGCTTGGAACTGGGAAATACACACCACTTTGAGATTAAGACAGTGATTTCAATTGCTTTTCTAGTAGCTGTTCAACTGTGATGCTGCAGAAGATTTGGTCTGTCAGCTAAACTGGAGATTAGATATTCTCTGTTAGAGAATGCAAAAAGAGGGGGTGTCTCTTTGGGGTGGGGGTAGGCATGGAAAGAAAGCATAGGGTGAGAGGAGGAGCAGGAGGAACTAGGAATGTAAGTCTCGTATTCCAAGCCTTGGCTAAGATAAAGCTGAAAAGAGCCACCAGTCTCATCCAGCTTGCTTGGGAAAGGACACGTAGAGGCCGCACAGTGAGACACCAAAAAGCTGGGTAACATGTTCTCCTCTAGGCTGATGTGTCTGCTTACCCTCTGTGGGCAGTTGGGATCCTGAGAAGAAGAAACAAGTGGAATAGTCAGATTTCATTTTTTTTTTGTCCATTACAAGTGCTTAGATTCATTTTGAGGTCAGTGATTTAGGAATCAGATGGTCAAGTGGAGTAAGACCCCAGCAGGCTCCTAATAAGTTGGCCTATCTGGACTAACTTTGTTCCTTTAGCTTTTGCTGACTTTTTTTTAAAGAATTTTCTGAGACCAGCTGTGGACAACTCAATATAAAGGCTTCTGCACTGTGGAATCGGCTAAACTTTTGCTAGTATCTTGGAATATCATATCACACCCTTTTTCTTCCCTCTCCCTGCTCTATGTCTGATACTGAGCTAGCCACACAACAGTCAGATGGGAATAATGGTCCTACTGGAACTCAGAGAAATCTTTGCTTCACCCCTGAAATTGTTTTAAGTTGGAATAATCCAGTGTGTTTCAGAGATGGAGGTTTGCTTTTCAGAAGCCATTTCGTAAATCAAAGAAAAGCCCCCACTGAGTAAAGATGGATTTTTTTTATTTTTTTTTTTCACTGTATGGAGGTGCTGTAACTCCCTGACTCTGTTAGAGTTAGAGATGGGGAATTCTCATGAGAATCCGAAGATGTGCAGTTTCTCCTTGAACTTTCCTTGGGTGTAGGAGGTTACAACTCTCCTTTGCCTTTAGTGCAGTGCAGGCTGCTTCCCTCGTCTTGCTATGGCAATGGCAGCGTCAGGTGGGGGGAAACAAGCTGCTGTTACCTGTTTCCCTGTGGGCATACACCAGCAGCCTGTGGTTGTCTCCTCGCCAGCCTTTCCCTCTACACGCACACATTTCCTACCACATGTGGGAGCCATGGTCAGCCTTCATTTAGTGTCTTTAATGTTCTCCTCCTGATTTTTTTCTTTTTTTGCCTCCAAAACCAATTTCTCTACCTCTGTGGGTCAGAGTTTGTGTAATCAAATGTGCCTGTCGTTGCCAGATGTGCAGATTGTGGCCTTTTTTTCCTCCCCTTACCCCTTTCAGGTAAGGATCTCTCTTCGCGCAGTGAAGATGATCTCTCCTGCATATTTGGGAAGCGACAGAAGAGTATGAAGACACAGGTAAACAAGAGGCTTCACCTTTCTCTTGTTTCCTTGCGTATTTTCCCTTATAACAAAAACATATTTAAATGTCCTTTTGCTAATGAGATTACCACATGCACGTCAAAGGTAAGGGGTCTTCTGCCTGTGAAATTACTGTTCTGTCTATGTGAAGGCTGCAGGTGGAGGACCGTGCTCTGAACTGTTAGAAGAGTGAATTTAATACATATTTTTATGAATTACTGTGAGGTAACTTCTGTGGAGTTAGGAATCTTCATTATTTTAATTTGATACTTGTTAAGCAATATACATCACAAAGTAGATCAGTTTTGCTCTATCTGAAGGTTGCATAAATATCCAAAATAAAATTTGACATTCAGCAGCAACTGGCCAATCTCAGCAAAGTGCCCTTATTATCACAAGAATGGGGAAAGGCTGAGCAGCTGCAAAGTCGTGCTCATCTTTTAACAAAGGAGTCAAAGATGGCTTAAACGCTGGTAAATATTTAATGAGAAGACTTTTCTCCAACTTTGTGTAATGAGATCAAGGTTTGTACTAGCATTTATTTTATTTTATTTTTGTATTCATTAGCATTTTACACTTGCAGAGAATAGCCCTGCTATATCACTATACAAAACAACAGACTTACACTGTGACATGACTAATGTATCCAGAAAAATTCTTTGGAAAAGATAACATCTGGAAAAGCATGAATTAATATTTAGCAAGAACTGCCCTGTTGGTTCAGAGGTCTCTAAAGTCTCTTGTGGTTAGAGAGAAAGATTAGGCCTGAAATTGAATGGAAATTTCTGAAATACCCTGTGTGTGATACCTTGTTTGTTGTTCAGTACTCTTGAAAATTGTTCTGTAACTTCACTGTAGGCCACTGGGAACTTTGCGAGGAGAGAAATAGGGGGAAGAAGGTGCTAGGACATCCTGCATAGTAGTGAACGTAATATAAGGTTTGTAGCTGTGTAAATGCTAGGTAGAATGACAAGGGAGCTTGTGAAGAGCAAATAGCCATCCAATGGGGATTCTTCACTGGAAAAAACTCTTACGAAATAAAGAATACTTCAGTGGGGTGTCTTGAATTGAACAGTTTGAAGGATTTGGGCTTGCCACTATCCAATAGTGTTATAATTTCAGCGAATGTGCTGTGAGTGTTAAACTTATTGGTAGGACAGAGAAAAATGTCAAGACTGTTTTCTGAATACTGTTCTCTAAACTACAAAAATACAGTTACGGTTAATTAAACTGGGAGGCTAGAAGAAATTTAAACAAATTAAGAACTGTCCTGTCTTGTCTGCCACTGTAAAAAACAGTATGAACCTTTGTTACCAGTCACATGGTTTGGCTTGGAAGGTAAGAGCTTGGGAGGAGGCCATCAGCCACAACAGAACCCATCTTAACTTATTACTGTCTTGAAATAAGCATTTGGGGACTTCAAGTCCGTGAGAGCTGGTAGAGGTCTCAAATGCTGTAGGTAAGCTTGCACCATCGGAGCCCCCTTGGGTTAACACTTCTGATCAGCTAAATATGCCATGGATCTACTTCTTGGCTCCTTTGCTGTCAGGTCGATATGAAGCAAGACAAACTGGGATTTAATGGAAATCAACAGTACTGTGGTTAAGGGAGACGATTTTGTCCACCCATGAGTTGTCCCAAATAGTTGGTCTTGTTTTCTCCGCATGTCCTGCATCTTTTGAAACTGAAAATAAGTTTGGAAAGTGCTGTTGCTACTTCTGGGACTTAGTCCTACAGAGCATTTATGGCTGCTTGTGAAGGGTATATAAGTTTGTGCATGCTTTTGCTAATTCCTTGACCGATGCAGTGGTTGCCTGATGGCTACCGTGCAGATTCCCTTTTTCCCCCTCACTGAACACCAAGCCAGTGGTTCAGGGTTCTGGCAAAAAGTCACAGACTGTTCCCTGTTAAGCACCCAGATTTCCACATGCAAATACAGGCAGGAGGTAATGTAATTTGGAGCTGCATTGTTGTCTTCTGGCTACCGTCTGCTGCTAAGCAGCCACAGGGAGAAAAAGCCAAGGGCAGCACAATTGCTTTTTTTTTTTTCCCCCCTCTCCTTTTCTTCATGGATCAGAGATCTGTGGAGTTTGCACGGAACAAAAATGCATTGCTCAGGCCCTCCAGCTCTGAGCAATTTCATTTCATTGCACCCATGAACTCTCATGATCCCTTTCCATCATGTTCCAGAGCCTGGTCCTTAAGGTGGCACAAATGGAACTGCCCTGTGAGGATTTGCAGTCCTGTTCTCTCTCTCTGGGTTTGCATTGGGTTTTGAACTCCCTAGGCTCTGGGCATTTCCATGATGTGGCAGAGTGCACACTACAGGAGCAGGAAAGTGCTGTCATTCTCCTGGAAGCAAGTTGTTCATATCTGTTCTCTGTAGAGATAGTGTAGGAAGAGTTCTGGTGTCTGTCAGAGCCCTGGGGTATGCCTTCAGGCTGAGGTAGGCTGCAGTATGCTGCTGTCCCTGTTCAAAGTAGATGAGGACAGCTTCCATACTTACATAGGTGCCAGAACTGCTACTATCAGTTACTCTGATTGCAGGTTCCCAGCTGTAGTTGCAACTGAGATGATGCCAGGCAGTACCTGGAATGTATTCATCCTGTAGCTTCAAGTCCTATCTTTAAGGCTCTTTCCGAGGTGTTAGATTCCTCCTCTTTTTTCAGAGGTGCAGTTGGAGAAGCATTCAGTACAAATTTGATTTGGCCTCAATGACCTGTCCTCAGCTTGCAGTGGAGTTGTCATCTTTTGACAAAGATACTCAGCATAATTCTGTTTCCCATATTTCTAGTTGTTTCAGTGCAGGATTGGAACCATCTTGGGTGTAACTTTGTGGAAAGATGCAGGAACTGCTTTTCATAGAATCACAGAATTACTGAAATTGAAGGAGACCCCTGGAGGTCTCCAGATCAGCCGCCCTGCTCAAAGGAGGGTCACCTACAGCAGGTTGCTCAGAACTTTGTCCAACTGAGTTTTGACTATGTACCTTCCTTAAAGCCTCCAATTTTAAGCCTGTGACAAAATTCAGTGGATGGATGAGAGCGATAACTTAAGGAGCAGAAGATGGGAACATTTTGGAGTAACAAAATGCTTACACTGTAAACGGACTCAGCTGGGTGACCATGTGCAGTTCCGTAGGCATCACAGACACAGTGGAAGTTATGGAAATGTTTAAGGGTGTATGCCATTGATGGAATTATGGCCAGGTTTTTCATCTGAGTGAGTTGCGGAGCTTCTCTTACTCCTAAGAGCTGTTGTACCCATGGCTGTTGAGCTTTTCTATTTCTACAAATGGCCTAACGTGCAGTAGGTGCCAGCAGTGATATCACACTGATGCTCATCAGCACTGTGGTACTAGGTCTGGCTGGTTGGTTGGTGTTATCCCAAACTGTTTAAAGATTAGGAAAAGGAGGGGGAAAAGCGAAACCCAGGAAACTCCATCTGTGCTTATGGTCAAATGGAAAATAGCGGAAGGGCTCAAGGCTAAGTGACATGGTCTCTGGACCAGCAAGATAATCCTGGCTCTTCTGAAGTGCTTGTCAAAACCATGTCACCTCTGAACTGCTGCTGTGATAAATGGCGTCTCAACAAATCAGATATGTCACGGAGACACTGTTCCAATTAGTTGTGTTCAGTCTTTTCTAGTATAGTCATTAGCAATCATTTTATGATCTTGACCTTTGGAGTAGCCTTTGGCAGGAGATGCTTTGTGCTGGCTTAGTCCAAGCTGTCTTAACTGTAGAGCTGATCTCAGACTCACTTTTTAACTGTCTCTGTAGCCTAGGACTGATCTGGCTAATGGATCTTTCCTCTTGTTCCGCATTGACACTACTGCAGTAAGTGGGGATGTTGAAATTTGGATTATCTACCTTATCAAAGGAAGAGGGAGTTGCCTGGAGGATTGTAAAGATTTCAAAAGACTGGAATTGCAAAGGATATGGAAGGAAATGCTGTTTGCCCATAAGGGTTGACAGGAGCTTCTCTAGGAGTAATAAGAATGAGATACTAGTTTAAGCTATTGTTTTGATGGTTCTGGGATATGTATTACTAATCATAGGTACTTGCAACTTTTAATACTCCTGAATGTTAAACATAGCGATGCTTTTTTTTTTTGTTATTTTTGATAAATCATGTGTCCAACTAAAAGCTACTTAATAAACTACCCAGGGACCTTTGTTTAAAAAACCCAAACAAACAAAAAAAAAACCCAAACCAAAAAAACCCAAAAACCAGAAAACAAGTTAAAAAAAAAATGGGGGAAGAAAACAATGGCTGGGCTTCAGAGTAGACCTAAACTGAAAACGTTTGCAGTTTTTTCCCAGGGAGACTAAGTGATCAAAAATATTGAATTGTAATTACGATGGTCTCTAGAGACCTGCAGTGAGGACCTGTTTTGCAGGGCAAGATCTGCCAGACTTTTTTTGCCACCACTTTCCCTCTGATTTTCTCACTTACTTAGGAACACTGAGAGCTGGGGAGACAGAAAAACAAATTCCATTAGTTCCTATCTGGTTGAACTTCCTGGAACCCCCACTATTTTTTTTGCTTCTCAGAATTTCCTTCCTCCATCCAGCTGTGTTTCCTGATGAAGCCTTATCACTGGAGAAAATGCTCCTGAGTGAGACTGAGGATTTGGGAATGAGTAACAGACAGTCCCAACTTGGTTGCTGAACAACATGATTCTGGCACTGATTTCACTTTGGGGGCTGGGAGAGTAATTCTGATTTGCTGGCGCATTTGTAATAACTCTGTTTGAGATGCATAGAAAATGGAATGGTTTTGCACCCATCTCACTTCCATGTCTCAGACGTTTGATGAGTAACCTGCTTCCTCCAAATTTTTGTAACTTGGATGAAAACCTGCGTAAGTTCCCTTAAACCACCTAATCCAAGTAGCCCGAAAGTCTCGAGTTCGTGGTGATTTCTTCCGTGTTAGTCATTAGAAATGGAACTGTCCACCCTATTGCTTTTTCTTTTTTTTTTTTTTTAAATCAG